TTTGAGCTCCCGCCTCTCACCTCCGAGTTTCTTCCCAGCTCGTTTGAGCTTCCCCGGCCCTTCTCTGAGCTCGAGTAGCCCCTATGCTTGGCGGCATACGCCACAGCCTCATCCCCACCCGAAGTCCCCTTCAAGGACCCCGCTTCAGCCCTCAACTTTAGCTTCTGCTCTCTCTGCATTAGCTTTGGCTGGATCTCATCTAAGGTTAGCTCCTCCTCTCCGAGCTCCAAGAACTCCACAACAGTGGCATACTCCTCCGGCAAACCTTCGAAAGCGTGCACGGCCAGCTCACCCTCTGAGACGGTTTGTCCCGCCGCCTCTAAATCTATCTTGAGCTCCCGGAATTCCCCTAGGTACTCTGCAATGGCTTTCCCCTTGGTCACCCTTAGACCCGTCAGCTTCCTCCTGAGCTGAATCATGCGCGCATTGCTCCTCTTCTCAAAGATCTCCTCCAACTTCTTCCACGCTTTCTCCGCAGTGGGTTCACCCTCAATCAACTTCACATAAGCATCTTCCGTGTGGATGAGCATCAGCCCCCTTGCTTGGCTTACTAGCCTAAGTCACACACTACTAGGCTCACTAGCCTAGCTCACAGTCACATTCAATCTTAGCCTTCGATATCCGCATCTACGGTTTACACTGACGGCCGCTCTCAACCGCCTAACCTCCAAACCGACTAACGGTTTAACCGTCGAACCGCCGTACACGCACGCCGGCGCTCACTAGTTCAAACCCTAACTCGGGGCGAACCCTAATCACAGTAATTCGGCTGACTATAATCACCGAATTCTATTAAAACACCCCCGCCTATCCGGCTTACTACATTCTGGGCAATGTGACCGAACTCTCCGCAATTACAGCACTTAGGCCTTTTGCCTCGGCTCTCATCCTTGCCGTGGCCCTTCTTCTTGCTCACTTTCCGCTCGGCCACATAGGCTATAGCGGAGTCCGACCCACCGCCGCCCTTATCCTTAGGCGACTCCTCAAACCCCTGCTCATGCATCAAAAGCTTTGGCAGAATCGCATCCACCGAGCTAATGGCGCTCTCTGAGGCCTCTAGGATCGTTCACAGGGTACTAAACGTCTTGGGCAATCCCGCAAGCACGCTCCATGCCAACTCATCCGGCGCATCTCAAAACTGGTGGCGCCAAGTCCCTATACAAATCCTTTGCCCGACCCACATACATGGCCACGGGCTCACCCGACTTCATCTTGAGAGAATGTGTTGAGATCGGGCTAAATCTGTGTACGTTGTGGTACTCGTCATCGCGTTATCATAGTGTTCGGCACTCATGCGCATCACATCGATGATAGCAGCCATGCATCATGAGAGGAGCACACGAAGCGCCTCACAGTCGGCAACCTTCTTCACCACAAACTTCTCTTCGAATCCTCACTATTGTCTCACGAGTCTCTTTTTCCACTAGGCTCACTAGCTTACTAGGCTCACTAGCCTAAGTCACACACTACTAGGCTCGCTAGCTCAAGTGACTCTCAGCCTTCGATATCCTCATCTACGGCTCACGTTGACGGTCCTCTCAACCGCCTAACCTTCAAGGTATAACCGCCTAACCGCCTTGCACGCGTGCCGGCGCTCACTAGTCCAACCCTAATTCGGGCCGAACCCTCATCACAGTTACTCGGCCGGCTATAATCACCGAATTCTAGCTGAATGCAACTCTTGCCTAGGTTGCATCTTCCTTGCATTGGTTTTGCTCTTGTAGGTCTTTCCAAGGAAATCCCACGCCTCCTTGGCGGTTCTGCACTCCTCAATCGACCCCAAATGGTGGTCTCCAACCGTTAGCACGATGATGAACAACGCTTTTTTTCATTGAGCTGGGTGCGCTATGGGATCTTTAAGTTCATCCCATAGATTCTTGGAAATTAGCGAAACTTAATCTTCGAAATCCACGTCTCGTTTTCCACATGATCCAACTTATCGATGTGGATCTTGTATCCGTCGGCCATTTCAAGGATTGCGTTCCCTTTCTCTCTTTCTCAAAACGAAATGTGGAGTTTTCTATTGAAAATTCCCTGCCACTAGATTCCCCTGACGGGCTTTCAAATGTCGTTTAGCTCAAAGAGCATCCACGATAAAGCAGACCGCCCGCCCCGATGCCTTCATTGACAAAAGAGAACCAGTGGCCGACCTTGGCGCACAGATTCAATGGTCACCCTCGTGGAGGCCTACTATTGAATGCTTGCGCCTTCACTCCCTAGGCGCCGTGGTGCGCCGTCCGTGCGCCGTGGGCCCATAAGCTGTTGAAACACGGCGTTGTTGGGAATATATGATCGAATGATCAAGTTCACACAATACATATCAAGTGTTTGGAGTTTAGCGGCGCCAAAGCTATTTAGTCCGTGTGGTATGCTAGACTCCTTCAGGTAGAGTTACATTCCTAGTCTAAATCTATACTGATAGCCTAGTAGGCTCAGAGATCGCGGGTAAGCATGTCCGAAAGTTTCGCGCAAATCTGAATATCTACGGCTGTTTTCAACCTACTCATTACAGCGCTTATTTCAATAAGTCATTCAGATGAAACGCTGTAATTCGGGCGCATTTGACCGCCAATCGCTAGCTATCGATCATCGGTCGAATTCCCGTCGACGTTACGCAAGGACAGCGCACACCAAATGCCCGAATTTCAAAGTTGTAAATCTGAGGCGCTCGACTCTGGGTATGGCGAGAACATTCTGGTCACCAAAACTTCTGCCCTCGTGCCCGTGCCTGGGCGCAGTATGGGCACGTGACTCTTGAAGAGAACTTTGTTCCTTGCCAAGGGCTCCGGTAGAAGTGAGTACAACGCCAAGCAAAGCAAGTCGTTTAAGCACTGCCTTCACACGAGGCTTTCGATCTAAAGCTTGAAGGGTCATCCGGAATTTGAGTTCCTTTGCAAAACGCTAAAGACGTCCAAAGCTTCTGTAAAGCCTCTGAACCAATTAGGTCGGGTCACGAAGCATCGTTTTCAAAGGCATCAGCAACTCCCCCTTCTTTTCAAACGGAGCCCATTGTGTTGAGTCATCAAAAAGAGTGGCTTTCTCCGCCCACTCCGAAAACGCTGCACTTCTTCGACCCGAAACTTGCCGTACACCTCACTCCAAAGCTTCCACAGCAGCTCCAACAGAGCCTCTACGCACGTCCTATTTGCAAGTCGACTGCCCATCAAGCTGCCCTTTCCAACGGCCTCGTCTTTTAGCTTCGGTCCTCTCTCGGTGCTGCTTCTGTAACAGCAAGCTAAGCCGAAAGAGCTTCGAGAACGTCATTCTGCTCGACTATGGGAGGATCATTTTCGACCGGAAGATCATCCTGCAAACCTATACGGGCTTTTGCAAGGCGGCCTTTTCGCCTTTCCGCTAGTTGATTTGGAGAAAACCGGCTGTGCAGTCGTGTATTGCAACAAGTTGATCTTGAGCCTCAAACTGACAGAGTGGATCCGGGATGCAGACACGAGGGGCTTTGCTCCCACCTCGAGCGTCCTGGTCCTGATGCGGCGCTGACGTCAACAAGCTTCCAACGCCGGCGTTGATCTCTGGCGACTTCCGAGCGAGGACGACGTGGCGCTCGCGTACCGGGCAACGGAAGTGAGGAACTTTTTAGCCCGTCCTATGCTTTCGACGGGATCCATGTGCAATAATTCCTTCTGTCTGATTCCTTGAGGTTCTTTCCTCAACATAGCTTTGATATTTTGCGACTCGCACATATTGCTTCTCCTCACATACTTCGACCTTCCTTACGGAATGACGTGGACCCAAGGCACTGACCATTGGATCTAGCTTCCCGTTTGAGTGATTCTGCGAAAGTGCCATTGGCCAATGGCCAAACCCTTTGAAGGATAGTTAGTCCACAAATCAAAGCGCGGCCCTGGACACTTTATGAGCGGCTATCGAAGGTTCATGATCCGGGCTGTCTTGGCACCAGTCTTAGACATCTAGACGTCTGAAATGCTGACATTATCTTTTGAGTTCTATATTCTAGTACATCGAGCGAATTCCAGAACGACAAAACGCCTTGACGCCAGTTAGATGCAAGTTCTAAACCATATCGTCCATGCTCTCTTTGTACAAAATTTGGAAACCGCAAAGTAACGTCGGTTGCATTGGCTAACGTCATGCATTTTTGCGCAGGCCTTGTAGACCACAAGTCCGATTTCACGTGCGGCGTTGACGATTGCGCCAAAAGGACCTTCGGCTCGACGGAAGTGACAAAGAGCGTTCCGACCTTAGGAAGAGGTACGAGGTGGACACGTCCATGGAGCAGATAATTGACTGTTATATGTTCTGGCTGCATTCGGAATTGTCGGTTCTGTCCCCTCTAGTTCTCGGGCGGCGTGTGATTACACTTGATGCGAAAACGGTGAAGGAGTGGATTCGGGGTCTGGCCCCCTACCTGTGCCCCCGAAATCGCGTTGGCTCGGGTTCGTTGCTCCGTTTGCTTAAAGCAACGGCCTTACTCTTCCAAGGATCAAGTTTGTCTTTCACGGGAAATCCGTGTACCTGCTGATGTCACCATCAAGAATATCATATGGTCCTCATGCAAAAGGTAATTTGTGGCCCTTCGTAGCTTCGTTGGAAGTTTTTAGATTTGCAGCCGCAATCTAGTGCTAGAAAAAACTTGTACGACACTATTTGTGGCCCTTCGTAGCTTCGTTGGAAGTTTGTAGATTTGCAGCCGCAATCTAGTGCTAGAAAAAACTTGTACGACACTTCACGTTTCTCTCTCTTTGCTCCTACTTGAGCTCTTTCTTATCGTACTCGGTTCAAGGAGTGCGTCGCTAAGGATCGCATCCAGACGCTTTCGTCAAACCTCTTTGATCGTGCACTTTGGTCGTGTTGGAAGGTTCTTTTGGTCGTTTTGAGAAGTCTGGTAGAATCTACCCGAAACAAAGCCTTTAAATGTTTTCGGAATGAACTAGTGGTCTCATGCAAGACTCTCGAAGCACAGCTCTTCGAAGACCTACTTGACGCCAGCTGTGATTCTTTTTACAGAGCGATTCTGCGTGCAAAGCGCCAAGACCGATCGAATGCCCAAAGGAGACCCGCGGGTTGGAGACTAGTAGGCCCTCGCGGAGCAGATGAAGGTGGACAAGGTCCAACTCGGCGACTTGAGCTCCCTTTCGACGGCAAAGCTCAAGCAGTACCACACCCTCGCATACGACGTCGCGGGATCCGGCAAAAAGGCGGATTACGTCAGCAGGCTTGACGCCTTGATCGCCCACGGCCAATCCCTTGAAGCCCAAGCCAAAGAGGAATGCGAGACGGCCCGTTTCAATTCATTTCGTGACCTCCGGGGATCACGTCGTACGTGGGCAAAGGCGTCTGCTCCTGCGGAGTCACGCACTTCTCGATGATCAGCGTCAATGATGATCATCAAGTGCGTACTGCGTTTGGTTTCATCACGGGCTTCAGCTCTTCTGTTGCTTACGTCAAGATTCGATCCGTATGTGTCTACTAGTCCTTTCGTTTGAGAGTAATTTGAAACTTTTTCATATCCGGCTTTCTTTCCAACTGTCAGCTTTGTCCGTCTGAGAGCTCTGCTGGACAGAAAGCTCAAATCGAGTTGCTTTCAGAAGGCGTCATTGAAGGCTTATTTTATTGGCTAGATCCTCAAGCCTCGCTTTGTGAGAGGTTTCTGAAAGACTTTGAAAAATTCCTTCACGTTTATGCAAAGTTGAACTCCGCTCGTCGGTGCCGCTCCTTCCCGCTCTATCTGAAGCAAGAAGTTTGAACCAAACCAAAATTGGGCCCGGCTCACCAAGAACGCTCGACGACACCCAGTAACGCGGTCGACGCGCGGCCGCACGGCCGCTTTGCCGCTAAGCTGCGACTCAAAACTTTCCTTTTCGCCACGTGCCATATCTTTTGACCGAGCTTCATTCTGGCAGCACAAGTGAAGAGCCTCGTTCGCTTGTCAGGATGCGAACCAGACGAGAATCGCGTCATTCAAAACAGCTGATTCCGTTGAACTTCCGCCCATTGATTCCTCGCAGGTCGGGCCGTTGTAACGACGGAGAAGCATCAAAAGTATTCCACTTTCACGCTTTGTCATGTGCAGGACGCAAAAGATCTTTCTTTGAACCTGCGACGGGATCTGGACATCTTTGGCTACGACCACGTCTGCAAGTCGATGCAAAGTGCGCAAGCAGACCATCCGCTTGCGTTTTCGACACGTGGCAAGATTCCCCAGGAGATCAAAGACCCCAACCGCCTCACCCACCTGGAACACCTCGCCCCCGTTTTCCAAAAACCGACGGGTCAGCCAACGTTCCAAGCCCCTAGTCAGAGCGTTTCCTCAGTGGGGTCTCTTTGCTAGAAACAACCCTTAAACGAGCCCCGAATTCACGTTGACGCCCTCCACGAGATCCTCTTGCACCATCTTCGCCAAGTTCTCGTATCCCAGGTACCCCAATCGTCGGTGCCACAGCTCGGCCGTTTACGGCTTTCTTAGGAGGAAGCATGCGTCCTCCCCCGGCGCGGCGCCCTCTCGCTTCATTTCCGAAAGCGGTCCCTCATGACCACTCTTGAAGATTGTGCGTTCTTTGCCCTGTCGACCACGTAGATTCCCTTCACTTCACAAGCTACAAGGACTACTCTCCCGACAGCCGCAAGCTCGCACCTCTTTTCCTTGGACGATACCTGTTGCAACCTCGGTTGGCTTGCTCACCAAAACAAGTTTGCCCCCATTCTCAAAACATACATCACGTTTTGCAAAGTGATGAGACTTTCTCCGTTCGGGACACACACCGCAACTCAACCGAGCCGCTCTCCTCCGCCCACAGAGTTCCCTTGTTCCCGAACATGAATTCTCGGCCACTTCTCCCTGTCATGCCACTATGGATCAAATCCTCATAGGGCCGAGGCCGATGCTGAACAAGCCATGCTCTCTGGCAATGCAACATGGATCAAACAAACAATGAGGGATGTCTGCAACACGTGCATCTAACTTTTTCAAGCTTCTTCGTTGGTGCGTCGCCGCTCTTGCACGTCATATGCTCGTTGTGCAAGTACAAGAGCAGCCGTGTGCTGCTCAAGGTTCACCCAATGCTTCGGCACTAAATGATGACAGAAACACGTAATCACGGGCGCCATGGCGCCCACCGAGGCTCTGTCACCAGCAACTTACAAAAGGTTGCAAGTTGCAGTTCCAGAATGAGTTTGCAGCTGACGAAATTGGGCTTAAAATTGTCCGCTTATACGCCTACACGCTCTGCGCTCGACTCGAACTCGACTTGAGCTTATCGAGCATGACACCCCGAACATGTCAAGGTCAAATACGCTTGTTGAAACGCATGGTGGAGGATCGTAGTGTAGTCGAGTTACACGCCATCGGGTCTTGTCGTGTTGCCCGGCACTTATGCTCATCTCTCATTGATGGCAGCCATGCATCCTAAGAAGACCGCACGAAGCGCCTCACAAGCGGCTTCCTTCTCCACAAACTTCTCTTGATATGAAATATCACATTAGTAGTTCTACCACCATAAGTCTTACAGGTCTCTCCCGTCTCACTAGGCTCATTAGCCTACTAGGCTTACCAGCCTAAGTCACACACTACTAGGCTCACTAGCCTAGTTCACAGCCACACTCAATCTTAGCCTTCGATATCCTCATTTACGGCTTACACGGACGGCCGCTCTCAACAACCTGACCTCCAAACCGCCTAACGGTTTGATCGTCCAACCGCCATACGCAAACATCGGGCCTCACTAGTTCAGCCCTAATTCGGGCCGAACCCTAATCACATAGTAATTCGGCTGACCACAATTAGCGAATTCAACACTCCCACTCAGACGAATAACTTCAAGACTCTAACTCGTCACGCTCCTCTTGTGGGCTGTCTTCTTCGCCTTGGGCGTCACCCACCCTCTTCCCTGGTTGAATCCCTCGATGACCCCGTCCCGACGTCAGCCTTCGACTCCACTTTTTGTTAAATATCATGGGCCGTACCACTGGGCTATCCTTGCGCAAGTGGTAGCCCAGTGGTACGGCCCATGATATTTAACAAGGCTCTTGTCCTGGTTAGGTGTTGGGAGCTAGCCAATTCAACGAGCCGCTTGCCCGCATTACCCTTTCAATCACTTCAAAAGCCACTCTTTTGGAAGGTTTCCCTCCTCTCTGTTGCTCTGCCTTGAGCTCCCTCTTGTCCAATTTGCTACAGATCCGGGCAATGTGATCCAACTTTCGGCAATTGTAACACTTAGGCCCCTTGCCCCGGCTCTCATCCTTGCCGGGGCCTTTCTTCTTGTTCCCTTTCCAGAGAGGTAAATAAGCCATAGCGGAGTCCGACCCACCACCGTCCTCATTCTTGGGTAAAACCTCTGCTCATGGATGAAAAGCTTTAGCAGAATCTCATCCACCGAGCTCAAGGTTCCCTCCGAAACTCTAAAGATTGTTCTTAAGGTATAGAACGAGCTCGGCAATCCCGCAAGCACGCTCCAAGCTAGCTCCTCCGGCTTCAGCTCGAAATTGATGCCTGTCAATGTTTGCCCAAGCGACGAACTGTACGTACATGGGCAAAGGCTCGCCCAACTTCATCTTAAGGGAATGCAAATCCTGCTCTTCAGGAGCTACACCTTTCTTGCATTGTTTTGTCTCTTTTAGGCCGTCAAGGAGATTCTAAACCTCCTTTGCGGTCTTGCACGCCTCAATGGTCCTCAGATGATGGTCCTCACGTTCAACCCGATTTCGTTGATTAAGATGCGTGACCTCGGGATCCATTACTCCGTTCCATGGATCCTTGGACGTTGATAAAATCCTTGATCCTTCAACTTCAATCAATGTAGTTGTCTACAACAAGCTTGTCTATGTGGACTTTGAACCTCTTTAGCCATTTGAGGGTTTGCCTTCCGTTTTCCTCTTTCTTAGACCTAAAGCTTTATGTCACGCTTTCCCTGCCACTAGATGTCCCTCACAGGGCTTTTGAATGTCGCTTGCCTCGAAGAGCATCCGTGATAAAGTAGATGCCAATGCCCTCGTTGACAAGGCTGATTTGATTGTACCGCGTTGTACCGCGTTGTGTCGCGTTTCCTCATAAACATGCCTTCCTTTCTGCGGATTTCACGCGTTGCCTGCTCAATGGCCGTAGTACAGTGGAAAAAACGGCTTCTTTACAACGTCGTCGCAACAGGGAGAGCACCCTTGGCTGACCCTCCTCCCTAGCGCTATGGGCCCATAACCTGCCAAAAACACAGCGTTGTTGTTTGGAAGTGAAATTGAATCTACTACACAATGTAAATGGAGTGGGGCCTCCACACCGAGGAATTTCCACGAGGGAATTCAAAACTTCTTAACTCTCAAATCCAAAGTCCCAAATCCAAATTCCCTTTCGACTCAAAGGGGGTTCCTTGATGTTAGAATCCGGTGATTATGGTCAGCCGGATTACTCCGTGATTAGGGTTCGGACCGAGTTAGGGTTTGAACTAGTGAGCGCCGGCGTGCGTGCACAACGGTTAGGCGGTTAACCTTGGAGGTTAGGCGGTTGAGAGGGCCGCCGATATGGAGCCGTAGATGAGGATATCGATGGCTATGATTGAGTGTGAGTGTGATCTAGGCTAGTGAGCCTAGTAGTGTGTGACTTAGGCTGTGAGCCTAGTAGGCTAGTGAGCCAAGTGGAACGGAAGAGACCCGTAGACTTA